GCTGCGCACACAGCTAATAACGAGCAGGAAGAAAGATTCTCACGTTCGATTCTTTAGCGCTGCCAAGCGCGGATTCTCATCGATCGGCGGTCGACTTCGCGACTGAGCTGAGACCAACCTGACCAACCCGCTTCCCGCTTTTCGGCGTTCAACATTCAATCGATTCACTGTCGCGGCAACGTTGCGTCATGTCATCCCGCGAATTTTCAAGTCGATGGACGTGATGACGTTTCTCCACCTTTGCTACCTACGCGTTTAACGTCGTCACTGCACACTCGACGTCGTCCTGCGGGATACCTCGGTCACGAGGGTGCCTGAAAAACACGCGGTATCCGCCGTTACATTCGCATTATATACACCAACTCGCGATTTCTATATTTAAATCACGATATCGAAGTCCGAGCTTGTGCAATATTGTGTCGCGTAACCACGTGCTGGATCGAGGAAGAGTGACAAAGTGAACTTGAAACTGGAGCATGCGCGAATCTATGGACTTATAAACGATCTTACGAGTTTAATTGTCAATTTCTTCAAGAAAGATAAAAATTATATTCTTCCTGATGAGAATTATATTTGAAGAAAAATATTTTCGCGTGGGAACTAGTCTTTTCGGTTTTGTTTGCATTCAATAAATTAATTTTTTTAAATATTGTTTTAAGTTGATTTATAAAAAAAAAGTATTGTTTGTTCGTGTATATGCAAAATAAATTGTAACATTACGAAAATATTTAAAAAAATTAAATCACAAACAGCGATATACGTAATTACGTGTCACATTAACCATTATAATATTGACATAAGCGATACGAAAAAATGCGACAAATTTGCCAGATTTTGTCATTCTTCGATAGATCTGCGCTATGAATGTAATACCCTCAAAACATTTATGTAGGATTTTCTCTTCATTGACACTACGCTTTTAACGGTAGATCTCTTTATCTGATTTTTAATCTTTTGTTTAACAATCGTACATTAAATACTAGATAAGAAAAACATAAAACCAAGCGAATTATCTACTAAGCGCTAATGTCATACGACCTGTTATACGGGAATATGATCCTCGTCTTTAATTACAATCGTGTAAACAAATGTAAAAAATGCTACGTGTGGAGTCGCTAGTTATTAAAGTAAATAATTATTAATACCTACATATGTGTATAATACACTATATTTACAAAATAATAGTTGCAAATTTTAATTCGTACATTTTAATTCTTTTGTTATAAATTTAAAAACCTATTTTAACTATTGTATAATCGTTCATTATCATTCATTAAGAGTTCAATATTCTCTTTTCTTTTATCATTAATTCTTTATGTAACATACTTCTTAAATAAAATTAGTATTAAAAAAATGTAAATTACTTATTAAGTTTAAATCTAATAAATTCGAAAAAGTAAACATGTATTTTTAAATAAAAATAATAAATTTAAATTTATTCTTCCAAGTTCTTTGAAAACTATATAGATAATATTTGTAAATTTTTCTGTTATCGAACATTTCTGATTAAACATTGTTCTGCGTCTGGTATTTCTATTATCAACTAGAGAAAGCACTTTACTTTAAATTGTCTTAGCAGGACACTTCCGGGTTTGATTTTACATTCACAAACATTATTCGACTTGCAAATGTGTGATTCACTTCAATTACGTATCTATGGTCAGTTGATAAAATTAATCACAACTCGCTGATTCCACGACACGTTATGACACTCGTCACACAGCTGTCTACATTGTTAGATATTTTTGCAAAAATTAATTATTTCAATCAGGTAAGAAAAGCTATTGATCGAACTACGATAAATAGATAATTCTACAACCGCACAATTTGCAACAATTTTCAAACTTTCATCAAAGAGTTACGTTAGATATTTCAAGAATTGTTCAGACTTCCGCTTCTACGAAAAGCAATTATTCGCCATCTTATCTAATTTACACAATAAGCGTACACTTGCAGTTACATCATTAATCGTATGTTTTAATTATGTGATAACAATTATTTAAAAATTATAGAAAAAATATAATAATGGATAATAAAATTCGCTTCGAAACTCAATGATAATAGTTTGCAATTTTTATTTATACAATAAATAAATATAAATTTTGATATTTTCCGTAACACAAATATGTTCTTAAAAAAAAAAAGCAGATTTATTGTTTTCTTATAAAATAATTTATCACAGTATTCGTAAAAATTTTACAATTTATATATATAACGCAACATTTGATTATAATTTTATTATGTTAACAATTTTCCCCTTATTCCCATTATTGCTTTCCTCAAAATAATATGCTGCATTCTTTAGTCTTTTACTTTTTTGAAAACAGTCTCCAAAATGTCAAATCTACTAAAATTATGTCTAAATGATATCGATATAGAGGTATGTCCTTCATTATTACGTCACACAAATGAACATCGCAACAGGTATAATTACATGTAAGATAAATTTACATATACTTGAGGCGCATTTTCAGTTATAATATTTATGGACAGTCTGACAAAAGATTGATAAGTCACACTCCTTGACAAGCTTTTGCTGAATTTAGCAGAGTTGTCTTTCTAATTTTGTTCGGTATACCATAGAACACAGTACACATTCTCACGAGTCGATTTACAGTGCAAAACCGAACGTGTCAACATCAATGTTGGTAGTAAGCATCACGTCGTCAAATGACAGTTTGATTTATCTTTAAAGTCACACTGAAAATTGTCTTTTTTCAATTACAAGCTGTTATTTCTTTCACAGACATCATTAATTCGTCGCGATTTGATTGTTATAATTATTCGATGAATCTTTCTTATTGGATATATAATTTTTATACTTATTTTATTGTTATGAATTATAATTAAATTATATTAAATATTTATTACAATTATGTTATATAAATTGTATATAATTTATATTATACTATATTAAATATTTTTATTAAAAGAGCTAAATGCTTTTGATCAATAACAAAATTTCTTTGAAATTACAGATCTAATATCACTCTAAACAGCACCGCTTTGAAATGACCAAATAATTAATTTTGTTTCGTCCCTAAGGGCAATAACGATTGAATACAATGAACTACTGACGCCGCGGCAATAAGCAGTAAAAGACTTTCATTTACGAGTCAGCGGCGACCCGAAGACGAAATACGAACTTGAATTAGGATCAACTCCGACCTTGTTAACCCATGACTTATAACCGATTTTCTCTTTTATCCCATACTTGTCGCCCGTGGGAAAGATTGCGCGCGAAAACGGCTTTACTATAGGATCGATGAAACGGAAAGAGGCATGGTTGCCCGGCAGGACGCGCGATCGCAGCAAAAAACACTGCCACGTGTATTTCGGTATGAGGTGCGTACCTGGGGATCTGATTTAACCGCAAGCGAATACGTCGTCGGTGACGTTGACACTGAGATTTTCACGGACTCGCGTCTCTTTCGTTACTGGACGGTCTCAATCGCGTTTTTCACCATGGACGCGACGGGTAACGACGCAGACGATCGGAGCTGAAAGCACGACTGAATTGACGAGAGCTGGGAGACTCGAAAGTTAGGTGCTCTACTGTCACTCGCACTGACTCGCACTTCGCAGTTGCCACTTATATTCCCTTTCGCCACCAAGTATAGTCATGGTACGAATAGCACACAGTATAGAGAATGACATCAAACCATTATTGAATTTATTCGTCTTAATATACACAGTTGTAACAATATTTTATTATATTATAAAAAGAGTTATAATATGACTATATACAATAAATCATAAAAATTGTGTATTGTATATATAATTTAAAGATAATATAACCATTATATGTAACGTTTAATATAAGTAAAAAAGAGCAAAGTTTTGATGTCTTTTCTACTAAAATAATAATATTTATAATATATATATATATATTTTAATAATGCTAAAAAATATATATATGTGTTGTAGATAATAGATAGTTATGATATATATATTATAAATATTTTGGAAATATTTTTGTCACAATACTAAATAAATGAAACGTCAATTCAAGAAAATAACTATAAATATAAATATTGTATAATTAATCGTACAGATTTCGTACCGGGTGCCAAAATGTTTTGATACAGCATTGATCAGTGTATTTAATGTTGTAAGGAACGTTCCATCCACGCATGCGTCAACAGTAGCAGCTATTATATAGACGTTGGAATGGTTGGAATCCGCGATTAAATGGAACTCATTCAGTAGATAACGTAGTTTACATATTGCTTTTTGATACGTTTTTAATGAAAATGTTCTTTTTATCATATTCTTTCTTATATTTAAGGCTTATCTTTATTAAGCATATATATATATATACACACACACACACACGTTCATGTTTCGAGAAAAAAGATAAAAAAAGAACAAGAAAAGAAATAATAATTATGAAAAACTTTGTTTTTTTTAATTAAAAGAATTGTGTTCCATTATATAATAACGTACACGTTAATCTTTACATGATGGAAAAATTATCACCATTATATAGTAACGTTGAAACAGTATCATATTTTAAGAGGCAAGAAATACATTAGAATACAACAGAATTAATAATGAATTATAACAAATATCTAATTTTAAAAAATCCAGATAAAGTGTCTAAAATCGGGTCATAAGACATTTTTTATTTGCTAAAAGTTTTGTAAAAGACGAATTAAAGACGTTTTATGTCACAATTTTAGACTGCGTGTTGTACGGGAAGTTATAAGATTTAAAAAAGAGACTTATTCTAACAGTTAAATGACAAAATAAATATAAAATTTTATAAATTAATAAAAGAAATTATATGTGCTATAGGAAATGCTTCCGTATGTAGTGATAAGGTAAAAACAGAATATTGAATGGGCATAACTTTGATAATGCACAATTTTATTTTTCCTAAATAACTGAACAAAATAATAAATGGTACATTTATATATGAAATTTATCTATCATTATATATGTACACAATTAATACTTTGACATAGTACGCATTGAATAAATCTATAGTTATTGCGCGGATACTTTTACACTTAAATACTCAGATATTTAATATTTGATTAAAAAATATTTAAGTACTCCGAGAATTTTTTTAATTAGTATTATAAAATATCCGAACGATATCTCTCTTCAAATTCCATTTCTTCTAAATTAGCTTTGCATTTGTCCTAGAAATAAAATATGCGATATAATTAAAGATAATCATGTTAAATATATATGTATACATACTATATATTGATCTGAATAAAAAATTTGTTCGGGGCTTTTTTAAATAAAATAAAGCACAAAATAAATTCGAAAAACACAAAATAAATTTTAATCAGTTAATGATAAAGAGAGAGAGAGAGAGAGAGAGAGAGAGAGAGACACGTAATTTTCTATATATATAGTGATATCTTTAAAATTGGAAGGTAAATTTTTAAGAAATGGAAAATTACATAGTATAAGCATAAGATAATATAATATCATAATATCATACTTTATTTTAATCATAACAAGTTGGACCTATCTCAATAGAAAAACTCTGTTCAGGTTTTCCGATATCTCGCAGAGCCACATCTAATATAGGAAGTCTTATGGGTTTGTCTGTTTCGTATGAGACAACAGTTTTACCCCAATGATTTCGATAGACCTGCGAATTAATAAATAAATCACAGAATACAAAATATATATATAAAACTATTTTAAAAATGTAATATTGTCTTGTACGTATATGTATATTCTGTTTATGGAGGCGTGGAAAGTTTCATACTCTCCATAAGAAAATCTCCGTCTATGCCAAATAGACTGGTAATGTTAAAACTGTTGCGCTCGAAAATTGACTCACTCTGCATTCATCCATTATCATTTCGTATCTAAGACGCTGATTGCCTCGTGGTGTCAATTCAACATCGTTCCAAGTCAGAAGCTTCAAACTTCTTTTGTACGTTTTCTTTTCGTAATCAAAATAAGCTACACTATTTTTACAATGATACGTGATGTTCTGTTTTGCATGTTTTGAAAGCAATTGTAAGAAACTAATTTGATTACTATCTGCCTTGTATGTAATCTAAATGAAATAATTACATTTATTTTAAAATCATTTTCCTAATAATGTGTTGTATATTTTTTGTCACAATAATTAACATAAGTAAAATTAGAGATATTATAATGAACATAATACAACCTTCATGCCGCTATCTATCTCGCTTAACCAGGTTTCCTGTTGATCAGTAATGTGATTAATTTCTGATGAACGTGATGGATTTGGTAAAATGCAAGTTGCACGTTTCTCAACATCGCAATACACTAAGATCGCGTCTCGAATATCTCCTTCGTTTGGATCAATCCAGTACTCACCTGTTAATGCACAAATTTATTTAAATATTCAAATATAGAGAATGCGTGTATTAATACTATACTCGTACATTTGTCACCCCTAATATTTACTTTTTAATTAAAACCTTTTTCAACTTAGAGAGTTTTTTCTAAAAAGAAATTTATATATTTATCTTATATGTTTATGATTTTTATATATAATTTTATGTTTTACATTTATTATTGGGAGTTTAAAAATTAAAATAAACATTAAAAGTAATTATCGTAACTGTGATTATTGAGATTTACCAGATAATTTGTCTGGGTAAGCAGCAAATAGATCTCGACAAGTTTTAGCAGGCGAATTCTTTTCACCATCTGGTTTTACTAATTTTTGGAACGACGATTTTAAATTTTCGTACGCTTTCAAAAGCAATTCTCTTCGTTCCTTTTCAGTGATATCTTTACTAAATATTCTTGGTGGTTCATCTCCAAGTGGATCTGGTCCTTTAGTTTGGCCTTGTGCTATACATTAAATAATTTTGACGCTATAATAATTTCTAATTTAAATTAAAGTAAATTTATTTTTAATTATTTTTAATGTATATTAAAAAGTTAAATATAATAATACAGAAAATTTAAATAAATCTAAATAAATTTAAATATATATTTAAATTTATTTAATATATGTTTATATAGATTTATTTATAGATGACGTTTTGTTTACATTCTTTAGAAGTTTTTTTATATGAGATGTCCGTAAAATTGATTATCTTTACAAATATATCAGAATTTGAACTAGTTATAGCTATACCTATAAATGCTGCTAAAGATGCGGCATCATAACCAAAACCCACTTCACCAGGAGGACCAGGTGGTCCAGGAGGTCCTGGAAGACCTGGTGATCCTTGCTGACCTTCTTCTCCAGATGGACCTCTTGATCCAGGATTTCCCGCAGGTCCGATAGGACCTGGGTTACCTTCTCGTCCAGGATTACCTCTAATACCTGGTTCTCCATCTTTACCGGGAAGTCCTGGAAGACCAGGTATACCTTTTTCTCCTACTAAACCAGGAGACCCAGATAATCCTTGTAAACCAGTAAATCCCCGATGTCCTTTAGCTCCTTTCTGTCCTTCTTCTCCGCGAGCTCCTTTTATACCTTCCAGACCCGCTGGACCGGGTTTTCCTCGTGGTCCCTGAAAATATTAAAATATATGTATATCTGTGCGCACAATGATAAAACTCTCATATGAATTATATTGTAATTTTATTTTTAAAAATCGATTTATATATAAAATTAATTAAATTAAATGTAATATTTTTAATTTTATCATTAATTATTTAATTATAATTAATTCTAAACTTATTACAGTTATGTACATTAATTTAATTAAAAACTCATTACCTGTGGACCTTCCACACCTTGCGGTCCTGCTTCACCTTTTGGACCACGTTCTCCAGTAGGTCCGGTAGGTCCGGTCGGTCCAAGTGGTCCCTATTAAAAGGAAAGAAATAAAAAATTATTACTGGTAACATTATTATTTTATTATACTAGTTATACAAAGAAAGATAAAGCAAACGTTATAACGTACTGGTAATCCAGGAGGACCTGATGGCCCTGCTGCACCAGGTGTTCCAGGTGGTCCCTTGTCACCTGGTCGGCCTCCTATACCCGATGGTCCTGGTTTTCCAATTGACCCTTCCGGTCCTGTTTCTCCTATATGACCTGGAGCACCCGCAGGACCTGTTAATCCAGGAGGTCCGGGTGGGCCTTCCGCTCCTGTTTTTCCAGGTTGTCCTACTTCACCCTGCAATAAAAATAAATTTTGTATTAAACTATTTAAAGTGGAAAAATTTAGCAATTATATACACACACAATGTAATAGTTATAAATGTACATATATTGTATATAGTATAATAAAAATATGAATAATTATAAATATAATAGAAAAAATAATAGGAAATAAAAGCTTTTAACGGTCGAAGCTGGATCTTAAATGATTAAACCGTTAAAGACCATTAAAGACTTTTATTTCTTATTGGTCCGTTGTATTCACATATAGCCCAATAAGTTCCTTTTTTTAAATATAACTATATATATTTTTATTTACGGGAGCTCCGCGTAACCCTCTATTTCCTATAGGACCAGGGGAACCAGGTAGACCTGATAAACCTCTTTCGCCAGGCAGACCTTGAGGTCCTTGAGAACCTGTCGGTCCTTGAGAACCTGGGGATCCACTTTCGCCTTTAATTCCATCGATTCCTGGTAAACCAGGATTACCGATTGGACCTGGATTTCCAGGACGTCCAATATCGCCCGCATCACCTTTGATACCAGGCAATCCGGGGACACCAGATGGTCCTACATTCCCAGGTGGTCCCTGTAATATATTTAATTTATTGCTTTATTTATACTTTTGTCTCCTATGTTCTAATTGGCTGTACTTCCGAATGGGACGCTCTTCCAACTGAGTTGAAATTTTACAAACAATATTGTTACGATGTATATAGTGATTATTTACGAAGTTTCTATCTTTAGATTCTTTATAGTCTAAATAATAAAAAATAAAGAAGAGAAAAATTATGATTAACAATATTTTTGATAAAACTTCCGATAAAGAGACCCCTTACCTCTACCGCAATGATATTTATTTTGACATATGTTGTCTACGTCATAATCTTGAATGACCTCCAATAGATTTTAGCTGTCCCTTGTTATGCGTAATAAAGTTATAAATGGTCAAAGTTATAGTAATTATTTTCCTACTTTGCATGAAAAATCAGATAACTCTAGACAGGCAAAAAGATGGGATGGATCAATTCAAGGAATGTGACTTTCTACTCAAAGCGAGTTCCATTCCACCTCCTCCCCCCTGCCAAAGGGCACACAATTTCCACGCGAAGCAACTTGCACTCTATCTCCCCTCTGCTCCGGGGCATACGATTTTCTGCAATTCTACATGATGGCTCCCTTATTTTTAATTTTTAAACTACACAAAACCCGAAGATAAGATTTTCATAAACAATCATATTATATTATACATCATAACAATGTTGTCTGTAAAGTTTCATTCGAAAGGCCATTCGAAAGAACACCCTTCTAATTATTTCACAATGTGTTTCGTGTGCGTGTGTGCACGCGCGCACCTAATTATTAAAATTTAATACGATTCATGGACATTAACGACTTACTGATGGTCCAACATGTCCTATGATACCAGGTGGGCCCATTAAACCAGGTTCACCTCGTACACCAGGATCACCTCTGATTCCCTTAGCACCAGTAAGTCCAATAGGCCCAGGTGCTCCGATTTCGCCGCGATTGCCTGTTTAATTAATTCATATATAATAAAAACACTTTTAATTCGAACCCATGCTGTCGATAGAGCCTACTCCAAGATTCTGATTGGTTTATTGAAATTATTTGAATTAGCCGTTATTGAAATCCAATAATCTGAGATACTCGCAATTCGCTGGCTTGCATTAACTGGTCTTGGGAGTCATAATACATATATTAAAAATGAAATGTACGTCTAACAACAAGACATATATTACAGAAATATCACTAAAATATTATGAAATACTTTTATGATATTTATATAATATTTAGGAAAAATTAAATCATTTAAAAAAATGTTAAAATAATCTATTGACCGAATTGATATTTTTCATATCATTTAAAAAATTATTCCATATGATATTCATTAGAAAATATATATAATACTAATTATACAATAGCTATCATATAATAATAAACTAAATATCATTAAAAATTAAACGTTTTCAAGAAAAAGTGCGGTCAATATATTGTAAATGGATAGTAGAATAAAAGTGAGTCAGATAACCGTGCAGTTCTGCCGAGTTATTGTATAAGAGTCGGAAAGAGAGAGAATAAATATAGAGATCAAACAGAACAGAGAAGGGACGTTTGAAAAAGGACGAGAGGTGAATAATGGAACTTATGCGAACTCTATTTAAAAAAATTGAACTTTAAAATGTTCCCAACACAATGTTCTTTCACTCATAATAAATAATTGTTTTTACTATATGATGTCTCCCTTTGTACTGAACACGTTGCTATAAATTATACTTTTACATATATCTTCAAATTTCACTAATAATTATAAATCGGTTACTTTATTCGAATCATCCTGTATAATCTATAATAATATATAGTCTATAATAAATATATATAGCAATTATATTGTAAAAAATAATAAAATATAATAAAAATACAAAATATTTTATAAATAATGATATCAGTTGTTATTAATTAACAGTTTAAAATTATTAATTATTTGTTTATTACCAGTTAGTCCCGGGTTTCCTTGTTCTCCCTTTAAACCCGGATATCCGTGATCACCTTTCAGACCCGGAAGTCCAATTAACCCTTGTGGGCCTGGGAAACCTGGCAAGCCCTGTAATCCATGAGGTCCTCTTTCTCCTGGATTACCAGGAGCTCCGGGTTCGCCAATTGGCCCAGGAGAACCTGGATCACCTCGTTCAGCTGGTTCTCCAGGAGGACCAGGAGGTCCAACTTCTCCTTGTGGACCACGCTCTCCAATATGTCCTATAATATTTAAATAAAAAATATGTTTTTAAAAGATATTTTTAATAAAATACGATTATATTATTATTAGCACTAAAAATTATTAAATTGTTTGTCAATTTAGTATGTAATATTACTATTTTGGCTCTGTTCATGATTGCGTTTTAAAACCGAAAAATATGGGGTGTACCTAAATAAAATTTTCAAAAAATCGAGAAAAAAATTTTTTTGAAAGATTGATGTCTTAAAAATATGCTCCTAACAGGTTTCTTTTTTATAAAAATCGAAGTATTTCTCAAGTTAGGCAAGTTTTAGAGAACGGGCACACAGTGCGCTGAAATCGCACCTGATCGGTCGTCTTATACCGAACACAATAGGCCCTTCTTGATCTTGCAGTCTTTGTATATATGTACCTTTCATCTTACAGATGTGTGTGTGCATGCGTGCGTGTGTGTAATAAATTCGTACAGAAAATACGAGTATATTTGATCACTAAGATCTATTACAACCAAAAAATACGTATAGAATTTTTCTTATTTAATTAGCTTTATTATCATTGATCTATTTCAAATTGTAATTATTTATATTTGGAAATTAATTTAAGTGACGTAAAATGTTACCTGATGGACCTTCGGGACCGATTGGTCCAATTGTGCCCCTTTCTCCTTTTTGTCCAGATTCTCCGGGTAATCCTCTTGCGCCAGGAAGTCCCAATAATCCCGGTGAACCAAAACTTCCTTTGTCTCCTTTGAGTCCTGGTAAACCCTGGAATAATGTATAAATACATAAACTTATGTATCTCTCATATATAGTGATATACATATATATACGTTCTATCATATCCTATCATAAGTATTTAAAGTCTAAATCAATAATCCATTCTATATATAAAATTTTGCATTTAAATTTAAAATATTATTTTTAATAAAACCAATTTTAAAGAATAAAAATAAAAACAAATACAATTTTTTTACAATTAAAAAATAAAATTTTCTAATTATAAATCTAATTTATTGTAACTTCGTGAACAGGCTTTTATATACTTTATATATTCCAAGATGTGTTCTAAATTACGCATAAAGCGTTATTTTATTCTTTATTATTAAGTGAACATTAGAAACAAATATTGCATCATGCGCTTCATTCTTGGATAACGCACCTCAGACAATACAATATAAATCGAAATATAAGACATACAATGAGACCCTCAGAGCCTTGTGCTCCGGTTTCTCCTCTAGGACCCATAGATCCTGGAGGTCCAGTAAGTCCTATTTCTCCCGGAAGTCCTCGCTCGCCTCTATCGCCAACAATTCCCGGTGGACCAGGAGGTCCTTGTACTCCTGCTTCTCCGTCCTTGCCTGGAACACCCGGATTACCGGCGGCGCCTGGAAGACCCTGTGTATGTACAAGCACGTGTTTTATTTGATAGATTATACTTTATCCTTTATATTATAAGAATTACAGCATGTTTCTATTTTGCATACTTGAAAACCTCTGGGACCAGTAGGCCCCGGAAGACCTCGCGCACCGTCGCTTCCTGATGGACCTGGTAAACCCTGTACTCCTGGAGGTCCTTCTTTACCGCTATCTCCTCTTGGACCAGGCGAACCTGGATTACCAGGCTCACCATCTTTCCCACGTTCTCCCTAATACAATAAAAGTTTGAAAAAAATATATTATAATATAATATTAATACTTACACTATTAAGTTTTATTTTTCTAAACGAGAATATTTTTGTATTTAAGTTATATTATAGGTTACATTTGTTAGTAAACTCGTTATGGAGAATCATTAATCAATTACAGGATATCCTCTTTCCCCTGGTGTTCCTATTGGTCCTGGTAATCCCTGCTGTCCAGGCAGTCCTTGTTCTCCCGGCTTGCCATCCGCACCTTGAATTCCACGTTCTCCAGGATTACCTGGTTTCCCGGAAACTCCAGGCCTACCCATTAAACCACGTGCACCCTGAATTTTTTTATATTTAATAGTCATATATATATCAAATGTAATTAATACTTTTACAACATATAATATGTTCAAATATTACGGTATACCTGTAATCCTGTTGATCCAGGTCGTCCAGGATCTCCAGTAGCGCCTTTTGGTCCAACAGCTCCCGAAGGACCACGATCACCAGGTTGTCCTGACAATTATTATACTTATAATTATTATTATTGTCATATTGCGTTTTTAAAAATATAGAAAATATACAAATGTGTTGTAAAATACACATACACACACACGCACTAAAGAGAATTTTTTTAAATTTTATTATAAACCAAAATATCTATAAGATCTGAAATCTTTTCAAACTAATAATGAATAAAATATATGAACAAAAATATTATAAATATTATAAATTAATTTCTAATATCATTATTCTAATCAAATTTTGTATTTTTATATTTAAAAAAGCTTTTTTCAAAAGATATTAATGTAACAAAAAATTACATGTATTTATAATAAATTGTTTTTAATAAAAAATGCGAAATTTGAAAGTAGTAATATTTACATGTAACATTTTGAAATATATGTATAATACTTATATATGTATATACAGGATACTCGGTAAGTTTTTACAAAATGCTCGTATACAGATAAAGCAAATTAAACTGAGTCGAACAGTCCTGTACCATTTTGCAAACTTTCGCAATAGTGAATGAGGTTTCTTGATAAAGATTGTTGAATAAATGGATAATAATCGACGCAGAAGACAATTTTAAGAGTTCTTTCAGAGTTTTTTTATAAAATATCTTAATGATGTTTCTTAGAACTCTTAAAAGTATCTTGAAGTTTTTATTATAAAATTTAAAAATTATATTAGAAGCATCCAAGACCCAGCTTGACCGTAAATGGCTTATTCTCATCATTATTTAGTTTAAAACCTCTCATGGTCCAAATAAGATTTGATATTATTTATCTTAAAGTTGTTTTATGCGTCAATTTTAGAAATTCTGTTTATTGTATAAGTAAAATAAAATTACGAAGATTACAAAATAGTAGAGGACTTTTCGACTCAGTTTCGTCCGCTTTATCTACTCACGAGCGAAGCTTACCGGATACCCGTATATGTAACATGTAATAAGTACCTTGAGGACCGATAGGACCATCCGATCCAGGAAGACCGCGCTCTCCAGGTATGCCGCGTTCTCCAGGAGATCCTACAGAGCCGATTGGTCCACGCATACCCCTTTTGCCTCTTTTGCCCTCATTCCCAGGAGGTCCAGGAAGTCCACGCGGGCCAGGCATTCCTGCATCACCTTTCACTCCAGTATCTCCTTTCAAACCTCTATCACCAGGAAAGCCCTGTAAGGATATCATTAAGGTTTTATAAAAAGTAACTTTTACAATTCTTGAACGGTACTTATGCGCACAGGTGCTCCTTTGGCGCCAGGGATACCAGGATTACCCGATATTCCAGGTTGACCTCGAGCACCTGGAAACCCGATCACACCAACGGGTCCTATTGCTCCAGTGGCTCCCTTCTCACCCGGAATCCCATCTATGCCTTGAGGACCTTGTGGACCAGTTTCACCAGGTTGTCCTGGACGGCCACTTTCGCCTTTGTTATAAAATATTAATTAAAATCATAAAAACTAATAAAATTATCTTCTCAAATGATTATAACATAAAACTAATCAGCAACTTTTGTCTTCATTAAATGAAAATTAAAATGTCTTACCTCGCGGACCTTGCAAACCCTGATTTCCTGTCGGTCCTTGTGATCCCTGGTCACCTTTAACTCCAGGATTGCCTGGAAAACCTGGTGAGCCAGGTTTACCTATAGCACCCTAAAAACAATTTAAAATACATATGTTTAAATAAATGTGAAAAGTATATATACTTAATATACTTAAATAAATAAATATTAATTAGTGTATAAATATCCATAAAAAATTTTTCAAAGAATTTCAAGGTATACCTTAACATGTGCATGTATTTTGTTCTCTAAATTGTAAAGTAAACAATTACTTAGTTTACTTACAGGTTGTCCAGGCGGCCCAGCAATTCCGTCGAGGCCTCTCAACCCAGGAGGACCCGATGGGCCTTCTCTACCTCTTTCACCGCGAGGTCCTGCTGGACCCTATGTCAATAATAACCAACATTTATATATAGAAAATTTTATTTTTATATTTTTAACAGTAATATTTTTTCATGAAAATAGAATATGTTTTTATCAATTTATTTTAATATTATACACATACCTATTCTAATGGCATTATTTACATACCATCGGTCCTACTGGTCCCGTTGACCCAGGCGAGCCCATAGATCCTTTTTCACCAGGAATTCCTTGCTCACCTTTAGCACCATCTAGACCTGGAAAACCACGATGACCTTTCAGTCCTGGAAGCCCAGGTATTCCTGGAATGCCACGTTGTCCCACAGAACCAGGCGATCCTGGTGGACCAGTCTCGCCATCTTCTCCACTGATACCCTATTGTTAATAAAATATAAAATATTTTATTTAAATATAATATGTAATATATAATTTAATTATATATATACATTATATATATACATAAGTAGTTTATAAATAAAATTAAACAAATGTAAGAACAAATGTAACTACATAAATGTTAATTATAAGAAACAAAAATAGTATATAGAAATACTTAAAAATAATCTTACGTCTTTTCCGGGTAATCCTGGTAAGCCTCTAGGACCTGGCATACCAGGAGGGCCTGGAGAACCCAGTTCACCGGTTTCACCTCGTGTACCTTGAAAACCTTGAGGACCAGGAGGACCAGCTGGACCTAAATTGAAAGATAAAATATATAGATAATTTCTAAATAGCACATTAAAGATAATAATTTTAGACAAAATTATTAAAATATTCACGATTAACCAGTGTCGGCTCGAATTGGCTTTCGATATTTATTTGATTTACTCTTTGGAGCCTTGGATAGAGCTCAAGATAAAGAATTATTATTAAAATAATTTAAAAAATTAACGATTATTTATAAAAAAAAAATTGAAAAGATTATTAAAGATCGAATTATCTACCTGGTGGACCTCGTGGACCCATCGGGCCTACTTGTGTCTGAATATAAGACAATGCCTCTGGTCCATACAATGACGCCGCTGCACCGGTCGGACCTTTATCTTCATTTGCTTCAGACAAAGCCAATTGTTGATAATAAAGAGATACCTATTATTATGAACATTATATACGTTAATAAATTATTATATATTAATATAAATTATGTTGTATACATATTCAATTATTAAAAAATAACTCTTAAATAATAATCAGACTCTTACTAGTTCTTTTGAATTACATAATTGTTATTTTGAAATTGAGTCTTGTACTTATCTTTATTTAAAAAATAACTCATACGTATCATTCTTTAAGTAATTTAAATAAACGAAAATAATTTTAAATTATAAAAAGGTTTCTTACATCAGGTACAGGTCCTGGTGGTCCAGGTGGCCCTGGAATCCCAGGTGTACCGGGTTGTCCAGGATATCCTGAATCACCAGGACGACCAGCATCTCCAGGTCGACCAGGTACACCCTAATTTATATAATAAATGTTACTTTTTTTTATAAATTTTTATATATTTTATTTCACATAACTATTTATTATAACTATAAGTTTACGAACTCGTGGTCCTGGTACAGCCACCGAACTATATATGTTACTTTCACCCGGTAAAATCTCCGTAGGTGAAACCTAAAAAACTGACAATCACTACTCCTCACAGTATTCGATTTCTTTAGTTCTTTGTTATCAAATAGTTTGTACTTACTGAATGATCCCGAGCAGAAGTAGAACTAGGCTCCTCTAAATTTGTAGAATGCAAACAATCAAAATTTAAATTCTAAAGAACACGCGAATAAAAGTATTTTATTTTATTTTAATTATCTTATTATTTTCTTTATTCATTTATTACACAATAATTTTTTAGTTAATTTTAAATACTACCTGATCTACTATGATCATAAAATTGAGTTGTCATAAGAGCTGGTAAGTCTGTAGGTGTTTCTCGCCGCAAGAAAGCTTCTGTTGTTATTTCGGATCTCTCTATATTAAATAACTATATATTATTGTTTCTAATAATTGAGTTACGATAACTATTGAAAATAACATTATATATTATGTTGGCTCGTAGCCCTGTTTGTATTAATTATTTTTTAAATTTATTGAGCCTTGTTATTTACATATTTTTTTACATTATATAATATTTTTGTCGTATTATAATAACGTAAAACTTTTGCTTACCCGAAAATTGCGTAATATCTGGTGGTATTGCACGTGATGGTGATATTGTTGTAGTCTCTAGAAAAATAATGTATTTGTTATTGTTAAATAAAAAATTATTATTATCAATGAGAACTTATTACATATAAACAAATATAATATATATTTACATAAATTGTTGTAGTCTCTAGAAAAATAATGTATTTGTTATTGTTAAATAAAAAATTATTATCAATGAGAAACTTATTACATATAAACAAATATAATATATATTTACATCAATTATCAAATGTTACAGCATCTTCAATATCTGCGCAGGGAATCAAAAGCTAAGCCGGAAGCCATCTCTTATAACTGTGAGTCGTATTAAATTGGATTTGCAATTAATAGATTGAAATAAACGGTATTAATTAGATTACTCTGAGAGAGATTAAAACAAGATTAATTATTTTATATGACCCTTTCATAACGAGATTAATCTGTAATGCAAAACTTCCGAGACAATTATCTACAACTAAATAACTGCTCTCCATTTACATTTATCTATATTTTTGCTTATTTTAAAGCAAAATTAGTTAAATAAAGTTATTATATATAGTTATTAAGTAGAATAATTAAATAAAAAATTAATTAAGTAAAATAATAAAAATATAAAATTATACAAAAGTCCAAAATTTTAAAAAATAATAAGATTTGCTCTTATAATTCAATTTTCATAGCCAACACTAATCATTCGTGAACAATTCATGAAAAATTCAATTTGTATTCCCAATGTGCCGAATATTCTGAAAAAATTTTCACAGATGGATTGTTCAAATATTAATGAAATATTCGAAATATATCGTATGAACACTTTTTATACAGATATATCACGAAAATCATCACTCGCGAGCACTACGCATCCCGCCAGCAGAACTATACTGAAAATAAGTATATAGAGCGTATTATTTTGCTTATAAAATGAGTCGCCAAAATTAGACTTGAAGATGAAAATATTATAAATGAAATATGTTTCTAACAATACAATTATACTTAAAAATTAATTCAGGGATCTTTAGATCTAACATTTCTAGAAAAATTAAAATTTTATGGAATATACATGGAACATTTTTTGAATGTATAGCAATGCATAAATGAAATATTTAACGATTATTTAAATGTGTGTTGCTCTTGTATTCTGGAAGTATTTCAGAATACTCCGAAACTCTTGAAATTATTATAGAATTTTAAGAACATTTTATAAATACATCAGGAATATTTAGTGTTGACTGGGTCTAAATATAAAATTTCTATTTTATTTAAAATAATCCTAACTGTACTTTAGTATTAATTCGTATCATAGGAATGAAACTGAAAGGAATGTAATATTTAACAAATATCACATTTTACATATTGTGTAATCTAATATGTTTGCATTAATTGACAATCAAAATTCATTATTCTTTATAAGTATTACTTTTACTACAATCTAAAAAATTCTAAATATAATCTAAACTAAAATATAGTTCCAGACTCCTTTTAATAATACTTATTACAATCATTTAAAAAATTCTTAGATATGTTGCTTACATATGTATACTCTTATTGATAAAGAAAAAAAATTAGTAAAAAAGATATCATTAAATTAAAAGTTTTTTTCTTTTCATTTATTGTATAATCAAATTTTTTTGAACACTCATAGAACACTCACCATTCTTTTCATCGTATTCGTCGTAGTTCTCATTATAGTTATAGTCATATTCATAATCGTTGCTAGAATGCTGAACTTGATGCTCTTGCGGCTTGGATCGTTGTTTTCTCAATCTGTTTTTCACAGCGTTCACTTGATCCGGCAAAGGCAACAGCAGCTGGACCACGAGAAGTCTCGTGATCAGCTCTAAAGCCTGCCGTCTCATCGTGAAGTCCCTCTATCCGGCAAGGGTGGAAAAACTTCACTGGAAAACGGAGAAAATATAGATTCTAATTCCGATTCGCTTCCATTGCAAGACTGAAGACAACTAGACTCATAACAACCGGCGTGTCATCTATTTAGCAGATGTTCTGCATGATGTAGGAGAGGTCATCATCCTCTATTTTACAAGATGCATGCGGTTCTCCCGTCTTATTCCATGATCACCCTCTTACCGTCTCTCCATTTGACCTATAAACTTCTTTTCTTCCTTCTTTGTTTATTCTCATTTATCTTTCTGTTGAAAAAAGGGAAAAGAAACAAGTGTATTTAAAATTATTTAACAGGTAATACATAAGTAAGAGATTTTAAATAAATGACTTTTATATATTATATCAAAAATATTTTGTTATTTTAATTAGATTATCAAGTGTAATACTGATATATGTATTGCAAATACTAACGGATAAAATAGAATTCAACAATTTCTTTTTTAATTAAATCTTACTTTAAAGAATATTTAATTTTATAAAAGTAAATATTATATATGTGTATATAATATATATACAATATTTTTTAAATCAAGCATAAGTCTTGACAAACAAAAAAAATTATCAATGAAAGTTCTGATCAGTATCTATGATTGTTCAAAGTATTTTCATTCGTCTAAGAAGTTTCAAGATTGGATTAAGAAAAGATTAAAAAATGAAAATATAAAATTTTACTAATGAAAACTTTTAACATAATTCCTTTTGATTTCAATCAATACATTAACCAAAATTTGATACTAAAAGTAAGTATCGTAATTGTCGAAAAAATGACATTATTTGTACATTCAGAAAAAAATTACGTTTCAGAACGTTTTAGACCGATTCCGTACATTAATATATTATATACATATTATAAATTATTAATTTATATATATATTTAACCGTAAATTAACTTAAAATAAATATTTTAAATGATATAATTGTTTAATTATACATGTTTTAATTTTAATTGTTAATATTTACAATAAATAATTTGTACAAAATGTACAAATTATATTTAAATACATCTTCAAAATTCTCGCTAAATAATGTTGTGGTGAGTTCATGGAAGCCTGAAAGAATTCATGTCAGTATTATCAGTGTAAGTACCATTACTTCGCATAGTGTCAAAAGCAGTAGAACATCGCGCAATGGAGGTCATCACCTTGCGCTTAAGGGTTGCATGCGATATACAAGATATCTGTAGCGCCATTGCCATTACATCCCATTTTTTAATCAACATAAATTTTCTATGGATAGAATTCTAATTGTGATATAGGTAATTTACATCAAAGCAAACAAAAATATAAACAAAATTTATTCTTTCAAGTATATCCCTATTGAAAAAATCGCGTCACAAAATTACATAACGAAATCATGTAATTATTTTTAAAAACACATAATTTGAAAAGTCACATGATGTGTTTTTCTTCTATTTCTATCATTTAATTATTTAAAATTTGATAAGTATCAAATTATATGATAGATGAAATAATTTACATCGTGTAATTTTTCAAATTACGTGATTATAAAAAATCACGTACTGATTTAGAATAATCCGTTATATAATTTACTTGTTTTAATTACATACTTTCGTTAAGTAACTTTGTGACGTGATTTTTTTCAGTAGGGATTTTTCTCAGCTCTTATATTCAATTATTATAAAAATTAATTCATATTTGGCTGACATAAAAATTAATTCATTATCTATTTCTGTTTATTCGTAATAAGTAACTAGCCAATTTAAATAAATAATCGTTAGGTATATATTACTTGCATGATCTAAGTACTATCAAATTAAAAACATATAATAACACGAAATAAATTTAAAATTATATTATTATAAAAGAATACTTTTATCAAAAAGTTTTTTTCTATACAAGTTAAGACATAATTTGTTATATGTGTACTTTATTTTTCTTCTAATTATTCCGTTTAATAAAACATTTTTTAAGAGAAATTTATAAAGCTTTGTGGAGGAATCTTCTAGTATAGTGAGTGAATCAGTTACGTTTTGCTACAATACGCATCTTTGTATTGCGAACACTTTGCATCTGATCCGTTGAAACATGAATTGCGATGACCTAGTTTGCGATAAGCGTTCTGCCTCATTTTTATCAGTTAACGTCAAAGAAGCACTCGGGCTCTGATACTGAGATGTTGTCATTTCCACTTAATACGCTTATTAAACGACAATCATCATTTTGGCCGCATTCCCGAAGTGAGCGTCTTATTTTACAAGGCGTTAGTCGCAATAAGTTGCATTGACCTGCACCTCCTCCATTCGTTACTGACAACTATAAATCAGAGTTACTACTATGTGTGAAAAAGGGACAACCGGGACAATGCAATTGACATGATATTATTAGAATTCGTATTGACATTTGATTGGAAATGTTATATATATGCTCTTGAAACTCGTTTTTTCACTAGGATTATATCAAATTGCGACAAAAAATCGTATTTTTTTTTTCTTTACACGTTTTCTCATATTCTTTTTTTCTATTTTTACGAGAGAGAGAGAGAGATTTATAAAATATATTTAAAAAATTTTAATATAATAATATATTAATTTTATGCCAAATATTAGTAAATATTTTTAAAAATTAAACAAAATCTTAATGCATTATTAAATAATATAATATATAAAATAAAATCTAAGATATGCTTTTCTATAATAAGCATTGAATTAATGTGATTCTTTTAGTATAATATATTATTAAAATAAATGTGTCAAATATACACTGATGAAAATTACAAATCTAGGTATGAGCACTAATCATGTAGATAACGGAAATTGCTCGCATAACGTTGTTAGATTTATTTCAGAGAGATATATATGCTAATAATTAAGTATACGTTAATTTCGATTAGAATAACAAAAATAATTTTTTATAAAACAGTTTGTATCAAAGATACTTTATTTTACATTATGATGCTACAATGTATTATTTTAATATTTATTAGTCTTAAATGTTACTTTTAACATAAATAATAAATAATTTGATACCCATTTCTTAAACAATTTAAATAAAATTAAATTAATACGATATGTTTAACGATAAAATTAACATAAATGTGTACAAGAAATTACACAAAAATCATAACAAACAGGTAAAACTTATTGACTTGTGCAAACATTTTATCTAAAATATGAAATTTTGTTCAGCCTATTCTATAAGATATTTCTTTAACTCATATTTAACAATTCTCGTATAAAAATTTAAAAGAAGAAATGTATCTTCAAAAATTTTTACCATATATATATATATATATATATATATGTAGAGATAAATTATTCATAACGATAATATATTTGTGATATTATATTATATATTATTACTACATTAAATACTTCACTTTGACTTACGATATCCACTTAATGAAATGGCAAATACTTGGCTATTATTGTCACGCTGAAATCAGTAATAAAATGCACGATAATAAAAAAATTATAAAATGACATAAATTAATCAACTTACTTCAAAAGTAACTCCTATAAGTGCATCAGCATTACGATATAATTCTTTGCACAAGGATACTACAATGAATTGCATAGAGGTTTTTTGAAACCGAATAAAAGAAACAACATTCTTAATATTCGCTTTATCTAATGCTGCGTCACCTTCGTCCATAATGAAAAAAGGTACTTGCTTATAACTGTAAATAAAAAAAGTCTAAAATTATAAACTACAGCATAGACTTTTGCATAACGCATAATGCATAAAAAAATCAACAAATCAAATTAAGTTCCTCTTTTCTAAGAACTAGAAGGAAGGAAAGAATTCTTATTGGTTTGATTATATTTTATACGACAAAAGTTTATACTACGACTTTACTTTTAATTCTTAATGTTCAATCATTATCTGTATGTTGTAAACATATAAAGGCATATAAAACATTTCAATAATCTTAGAATTAAGATATACCGTTGAATTGCAAATAATAATGCCAGACTAGCCATTGACTTCTCTCCTTCAGATAAATATAGCAATGGCTGAAAGCCTTTATACGGCGCTCTGCAGTTATAAATTATATTGCCTGCATACGGTTCTTCGGGATTATCTGGTAAGATAATTGCTTGAGCCGATGTGTTATTAACTAAATTCTGTTATACAAAAATACAAAAATAAATCAAATAAAAATTGTAATATATAAAAAAACAAATATACAACAAATAAAATTTTAAAACATAATTAAAAACACTAACTTTATATATAACATCTATTTCTGCAGTAACGCGTTCCAAACAATCTGAGAACGATTTGTACCTCTTAGCCTTCACTGATTCAAATTGCGTTATTATTCCATTATATTTCTTACGATAATTTCGAAGATTTGTATTTACTTTTTGCATTCGCTGCGCTATGATATCGATTTTTTCATCAATCTATATTTATCCAAATTTATAGAATTAATTTTTAAAAATACAAATCTAACATAAACGTTAAACATATATTATGTAAAATTATAAATATTATCTACCTTATGATTTATTAAATCTTCAAGTTCATTCTCAATTTCTGTAATCTCCTCATTAAGTTTTATTACCATGTCTTGTAATTCTTTTTTTGTAAAATTGCTGATTTTTTCAGGAAATTGCGAAAAATCAATTTTTGTTAATATTTCACAATCTTCCGACGATTCTATACTTGTACTCAAGCTACCTGTAGAAACGCTTTCTTCAAGTCCACAATGTGTTTCCAACATTGGAATAATTATATCTTCCATCTGTAAAAATAATTGTATTCAAATCGTAAAAATAATGAAACATAATTGATGTTGAGAGATCGAACTAATATACAATATTTAATAAGTTTTTTTACAATACACTTAGAATACGTCCTTTAGAAGTATCTTTAAAAACTTATAAACCTTGCATTCTTTAAGTATAATGTTGCATTCTATTTTTTTCTGTTGTATTTTTCTCTGTACAGCAATGTGTACTTTCTGACTATCTAAATATAATTCTTCAATAACGCTAATTTTAGATTTGTGCTCAGCTAATTTTTTGTTCACATCCTCTAAATCCTTTGCCACATTTGTATAATTGTCCTTTAATTTCGACATTTCTGTTTCTTCTAGCTCATTAACCTTAATCTTTGCATGACCTTGCTGATACACCTTATTCCATTCTGCATCAGCATGTTCTACAGCTCGTTGCCATTTCAATACTTTACCTTTTTACATAAAATTCGTACATATATACATATATATAATATTAATAATTAAAGATGATATATATTAACAAAGATATCACTTGAAAATTTACTTTCTATATCGTTCTCGTTTTCAAAACACAATTGATTCTCGATACGATTATATTGTTGTTCAAGCTCCATTTGCTTTGTTTTTTTCTCTTGATAAATTCTAAAAAATTCATATTATTAAACATATTTTCTTATGTATACCTAAATTAAAAATCATATATTATAAACTAAAAATTTTATACCGCAAATTATTCTCCTCATAATAGCTAATATCCGGCACATTAATATCATTACAAAAATCAACATAGATTTCATTTTTAATTGAATTAATATATTTCTCCATATTTTTAATTTCTTTATTTCTTTTTTGCATATTGTCATCAATTATAACTATTTCCAGCTAAAAATTTTGCAGATAATGAAAAAATATCTTTCTTTATTATATATATATATATATATATATATATATATATAATATATCAATAAAAATGTTTAAAAGTTACGTATATATATAAATATATTAAAACATACATTTAATGCAATTATTTCTCCATTAACCATGTCTAATTCCTTTTGTGTCTCAACAATTTTGTTTTCCTATAAATGCAGATTTTATATATTATAATTTGCTGTTAACAAGTCGTATATCTATATAATAAAATTAAAATATAAAATATTCCTGTCTTTTAATTACATACAGTAACTTTTATATCTGTTTCTGTGTATTTATTTCGGAGTATGAGTGCATTAATTTCTATATTAATTGTATCAAATTCAGATTGCATAAGAGAAATTTTGGGTAAATCTCTTAGTTCTCGCATTAATTGTGCCTAAAAAGTGGTACAAATTATATAAATTGCTATGTGTCACTTATTGTACCGTTCTTGCACAAAAATTTTTACAACCTTTTGTTCCTTCAATATAAGTATTCGTTGTTCGTCCCATTGTTTTGCTTTTACAATTAAATCAGCCTGCCCACCAGACATTAAACCATTCTTATGATAAAAATATCCGTCCAGTGAAACACACTAAACATGATAAATATATAGTAATTTAATAAATAAAATAAATATGTAATAATAAATAAAATACACGTATGCATGCGCGTTATTATAATTGTTAGTTGCTAAAATATTATTTTTAATGTTTATTGCGTTTTTAAATATATAAATATATATATTATTACATCATATGCTTTCTGTTTATCATCATCAGGATATGCTAACATTCTTGCATGTTCACTAGTCTCGCAAACTAGAGTATTTTTAGTGACAAATAAAACCGCTTTGTTTATACGTTGTGATGAAATATTTAAAACATCATATAATAATTTAACATTTTGCGGCTCTTCTATAGCACTGTAATAAATAATAACATTAAGTGTCATATTATAAGAACTTTTTTTTTTTTTCAAATTACGTACCGTAATTTTTCATTCAAAATTATATTTTTTATTGAATCAAGTGGTAAAAATATTTCAATGTCTAATTTTTCTTGTTTTAAAAGTTGAATACACTGAATTGCTGTGCGTGTGGTATCAACGACAATGGCATTTATATTTTTACCAAAAACTTTAGTTACAGCAACATTATAACGTGAATGAATAGGCTTACATAAGTCAGATAAGCGACCATACTAAAAAATTAAATTACATTAATTTTTATAGATTATGTCCATTGTGATAATTATTTAAGTTTTCTGATAGTAATTTGTAAAAATACCACGCCAGAATAAATCTGTTTTAACATATTGATTGTTTCTTTTTTTTTATTCCCACGCAAAATACTATCGTTATCAGTATCTGCCTGGAAAAGCTCTTCTGTAATCTTTACAATATCACTCTCCAGATTTAACGATTTATTTTTTATTTCAGGAATTTTTTGGTTTAGTTTTTGTATTTTTAGTGTTTTTTCCATTAAAGTTGTTTTAGATTTGGTACTTAAATCTTGCAGTTTTTTGAGTCGCGTTTCGAGATTCACCTTCTTTAATCTTATTTGCTTTTCTTTGTCCTCTAATTCTTCCTTACGTCTATTTTCGTTACCAAGTTTATCATGATCTTCTTGCTGATTGCGCATCAAGCTTTTTATTTGTTTTACAGAAACCTCTGCTTGACATTCAACTTTGTTCATCAATTCCATATAACGTTTAACCTTACATATAAATTATATACAGTATTAAGTAAAAACTATTATAAAAAATGATAAAAAAACAAAATATTTTTTTCATAACTATTATAGTATAATTTTACAGATATTGCATAAGTGCTAATAGATATGATAATGGTACAGCATACCTGAGAGTTACTGAGTTCTATAGCGCTCGTTTGTGACTCTTGCCTTAATTCTGTTAATTTGTTGTCTATTCGTTCTAACTCATTATTTAATTCTTGGATGTTTCTCTTTTTAGTGTCAAGCGCTTTATTCGCATTGTCTAGAGACATGCGAGCGCAATCACGTTTTTTCTGCCAATATAAAGTATCATCCTCAAAAGCAATATGTTCTGTTTTCTTCTGTTCAATAATATTTTTCGTTTTCAGAATTTGTTGTTCAATATCTTCGAGAGAATTGGATAATGACTTAAATTGTGATTTTGCATTTTCCAGTGAAATTATCACAACCTTCTTGTCCTGTAGATACTGATCTATTCGCGGTTTGATTTTTCTTTCTTTCTCTTGCAAAAATTCAACTTTCTCCTTAATAAGGAGCAATGAAATTAATTGAAATTTTAATTTCTTTTTATTCTGTAATGTTAAATAATGATGTTATCACGAACATATGAAAGATATATGCAATCATATTTTTATAATAATATAAATACATAGATACGTAAGACATACACGTTGTTCTTCCAACTTTAAATATTTTTCTGTTTCTGCTTTTTCCATAATGGCGTGTTTCTTCTGAATTAATATTTGTTTTTTCATTTTATTCTCAAAATTTATTTCTTCTGCCACTTTTAAAAGTTCTAATTTTAATCTGTAATATTATCAAAATCTAGTAAAAAAGAATACAATTTTTTACGCGACCGTTGGGAGATTATATTTTATTTCTACACTTTCTTATATATTTTTCTTCATAAATATCGTAATAATAATACAACATTCAATAAAAAGTTGATATTTATATTGAAATAAAATTAATATAATCCGTATTATCATATCGTTACAAAATCACTGTCAATTATCGTTCAATCTAAATTTAAAAACTAATAGTCAGAGAGAGTTGTTGATCCAACTTTAAATTAGTTTTTACATGATTAAAGCATCTATAACTGACATAACTGTGATTTTAGATTCCGTAATAATTTCCTAACATAAATAAGAATTATATTAACTTTATTTCAATGTACATTTCAATTTATTAAGCATAGCATCTCATTATTATAATAACTTTCGGTCTCAATGAAAAAAAACATTCAAAAATGTAGGCATATAAAAATCTGTAAACGATCGTAAGAAAGTGAAAAATGTACTCTTCTTTAACAAATATTACCGCAAACTTTATATTATCAGAATTAGAACAAAAATATACCTATCATAATCTGCTTTATATTCAATTGAATTAGAAATCTTTTCAAACATCGTGGTCAGATCTTTTGGTGTTTTCATTGCAAAACATGAGATGTAACCTTGAGGTATCAAAAAGTTCCCCATTTTTATGTCCAAATTCATTTTTCGCAATTCAGTTATATAACATATATTCGTAACAATCTGCATGATAAGAGAAAAAATTATTGATATTATTTATAATGTATAAATATATATAAGAGAAAATAATTTAACAAGACAGTAAATATTGTTGTGTATAACTCCACCTTATCATCTATTTTATATTGATTAGTTTCGCCATGAACTGCCCTTGTGAAACTCTTTTTATTAATGCCGTCTACGGTATTTATATCAAAAATTAATTTTACATACATATCGCTGTAACACAATAAACATTAATTATACAGAGGGTGTCTCAAAATTTTCGACTTAAAATATTATGTTAAAAATTTTAATTTTAAGTACTAATTTTTAAGATACTATAAGTATTTAATTTATATGACCAATTACAGATTATGTTTAGATAGCCAAATGTCCATACGTCGCGTGTATCGTATAGTATTAAAGAAATGCGCGCTCATTTCTTTCACTCTCTTTTCTCTCTCTCAATACATGCACTATAATGAAAAAAATATTTCTTTAATACCATTTCATCGTTAATTTTCCAGTAGGACTTTTATAAATGAGTTCGCTGAGGCGTTTAACACGCAAAGCAGTCAGCCCTTCCCCTAATGCGAAACTTATAGCATCCACAATATTTGATTTTCCTAAAATACACAAAGTATTTAATTTGAAAAGAAATAAAGAAAAATTATATAAAATAAAATTTTAAAAAAATTTAAGTTTATTTAAAAAAAGGTTTTAATTTATTTTTATGTGTAATAATATATCTTACTTATCATTTTATTAAATTAAATTAAATAAAATAATAAACAACGAAATAAAGGAATTTAAATGAGCATAAACCACAACCGCTGAATCAATTTAGCGAAATTATTCTATATTTCGTCGATTTTTCAAAACGAAATTTTATTGTTCGTACAATTAATAATCATAAACGTTTCGGCCCTTAATCTGGCCATCATCAGTACTATAATGATAATAAAATTTCATTTTAAAAAATCAACGAAATATAGAATAATTTCGCTAAATTGATTCAGCGGTTGTGGTTTATGCTCATTTAAATTTCTTTATTTCGTTGTTTATAACTAAATCACAGTAAATTCATATTATTGTTTAAAATAGTAATAAATATTAAATATGTATAATCTATATATTAATAATTTTAATAAATAACTAAACTGTTATCCATATTTATTTAATATATAATTATCAACATATAATAATTAGATTTTAACATGTAATTATTTATTACTTAAAGTGAAGAAATAACATTTAAATACGCAAGAAAAGAATTTTGTTCCAAATCAAATAAAATGAATATCATATAAAACATAAGAATCTCACCAGCTCCATTTGGACCAATTATTGCCGTAAACGGCTGCATAGGACCGATTACCGTTTCTCCGCTGAACGACTTAAAGTTAAAAATAACAATATTATTTAAAGAAAACGGCATATTGTTAAAGTAAAACTACTGAATACGCGCGCGCGTTTCGGTTGGATTCGGTGAATAAATGACCGTTGAAAATCTAAGAACTCGGAATTGCTCCGGATACGAAATAACAGTGTTACCAATTTGCAAATACCAGAGTATTGAAGTTGCATTGTAAGAAAATGGTGCGCAGTGGGTAATAATGTATTTTCTCTTTTCTAGAAATGAAAAAATTTCTCCATTATCTTCAATGATAAAAATTTTCACTTTTCATATTTCTTAAGAAGAAAGTTACATATTATCTGTTAGTAACCCTTTACCGGCAATATAAATTCTTTACGTTACAGCACAGACTTTTGTATAACGCATAAAAATCAACCAATCAGAATCCTTCCTTTTTTTCATTTCACAGAATAGAAAATCGATTTGATCGATTCTCTTAAGGTGCGTCTAAACTATCGAGCAGAACTTCGAACCGAGCCGCGAGCCTCGAGCCGCGAGCCGAGCCGAGCTGATTGAGTTTCGAACCGAAATTATCGAGCTTAACTTCAGAGTCGAAATCAAGTCGAGCTTTAACCAAATTTTACAAGCATCGCAAGCGATCCGTATTTTTTTTTTTTTTCGATAATTTCGGTTCAAAACTCATCAGCTCGAGGCACGACTCGGCTCGGCTCGGCTCGAGGCTCGGCTCGCGGCTCGGCTCGAGGTTCGGCTCGCGTTTCGGCTCGATAATCTAGACGCACCTTTTATGTACTATGAGTTATGCGTTATGCAAAAATCTGTGCTGCGGCTTTTTTGTACATACTTATAAAAGCTGTAGTAATAAGCTTTTAGTTTAATTATGAGTTTTATAAAAAGTTGAATTGCATTTTTATTTTTTATAGATTTAAATTTACCTATCAGATTGATAATGAAAAAAATCGACTGTTACCTATTTCTACTAATTGTAGATTAATTTTAATCTCGATTCAACTTGCTCTTCATTTTTTTCTAATCCTTTCAACCAGAAAAGGAGTTAGTTGAACCAAAATTAAAATTAACTACATTGGTAGAAACAGTTGTGTAACGTTAAAATCCAACCATTAACGGTAGATTAACAAAATATTTCAAAATAAATATAAGTTTAAGAAATAAAAACAAAAATGTTTTAATAAAAATGAATTCGTGCAACATGAACGATGATAGACAGATATTTAAAATGTAATTATCATGATATTACTTACATGCGAAACAGACTTGCAAAATAAATAGAATATGTATTGTATAATAAATGTATATTGTGTAATAAATAATTTAAGATACACACGAGTATAATGTTACAAAATAAATTACTACTCATTATTATTATTGGTATTGTCAAAATACATGTAACAAATATTTGCTTAAAAATACGTGTCTTGCAATAAATCGTTTATTTTAATATTTCTTTGTAAGTTTTTATTAAAGTTTTAAAGTTATTTACATTGTTCACAACATACCTTATATCTCACACTCACAATTATGATCACTCTTTTATTCTGACTTATAACATAAGATGTATATAATATGTAATTTATCAAAAAATATGATAGCAGAGTCTTGTAATAATTTTAATTTAATAATAAAGAACGTGAATAAATCTAAAAATAATAACATTATTTGTAGTATCTATATATTCTTCTTCTAGGACACATTGAGAATTATCAATGGCGAATATATATATATATATATATAGAAAAAGAAAATGCTCTTTTTTAAATAATAAACATTTACGAAACATGTGTAGGAGATGTAGTCAAGTCAAGCGTTAATACTTTGCTCTCCAAACATTCGCCTACCTATAATTCACATATAACAAATTTAATTAAAAAAAAATATTGACAGACGTATAAAATGTGATTTATGATCAAACAATTTACTTACATCCGGGCAAATTCCAATAAGTGCATCCGCGTGCGAATAAAATTCCTCTTTCAGTGATATAACAATTGTCTGCAGCGAGCTTGTTTTGTCACGAATGTAGCTAGCCACCTTTCCTATATTAGTATTATCGAGAGCTGCATCGATCTCATCCAGAACAAAGAATGGCGCAGGTTGGAAACTGAATATGAACGGACAGTGAATGTTAATTGATCATCCATCATCATCAAATTATATTATCAATTTCATGTTCAAAATAAAAATGTGAACCTGTGAATTGCAAATAACAAAGCTAGTGCAGCGACAGTTTTTTCTCCACCAGACAAATTGGACATTGGTTGAAACCGTTTGCCAGGAGCCACGCAATTATAATTAATGCCATCCAAATAAGGTTCTTCAGGATTTTCTGGCCCAAGGAATGCTTGAGCGGATTGATTCTTCGCTAGACTCTGAAATCATTAAAAAAAAATATACATATTTAATAAAATATATTTATATAAATTATAAATTTATTTGTACATCATTTTATAGATTTTTACATTACTTCACAAACCTTATAAATAGGATCAATCTCGTTCGCCACATGTTCAAAACACGCCATGAATCTGTCATGTCGTTCTTTTTTCACTTTCTCAAATTGTGTCTTCGCTTTCTTGGCTTTTTTACGAGACTGCTCAAATTCTTCATTAGTCTCCTGTAGTTTCTCTTTAGCTAAATATAATTTTTGAATTGCCTAAAAAAGAAAAAATTTGTACGTCTTTATAACTTCTTACATTTATCAATATATCATGTCCAATATATTGCAAACCTTCATGTTTGGAGCTTGTATACGCTGTATTGTATTTTGCAAATCATTGATTATTTTTGTTAGCTTGTCAGTTGT